CTCCTGCTGCACCAGCCAGCACGGAGCGCAGCAGCAGGGTTGGAAATGCAGCAGCAGCTTCTGAAAAGGGGGTCTCTGGCTGCTCTCCCCAGGCGTGGCACTTTCCAGCTAACTCCAGCACCTCGCTCTGATTTGTCCTTAACACGGCGGCATGGAAACCACGTAGGAAGCAGCCAAGACTGCCACTAAACGCAGACGACACCAACCCCCTGGGGGAACCCCGCCCGCGGCATGGGCAGTGGGTGGAGTCCAGTGTGACAGACAGTATGTGATTCAAGGCACTCTTTGTTGCTCATGGTTTGTTTCTAAAAACTAGACAGCTGGGCCTGGGCCTGACCTAAAGCGCGTCTCCCTCCCCTGGTTCCCGGGAAGAGAGGGGTGCAGAAAGAACACAGGCTGCATTGCCCTAACCAACACCCCAGCATGCAGTGACTTTGCGGACTTTCCAACACACACTCTCAAGCCTCAGAGGGTCACTACTACTACGGAGCTCCCGCGTTCGTCCTGGATTACCCAGAGTGACTGCTAGGCAAGCAGGCCATGTGATCGCACGACAGCACAAGTGGGACCTTTGGCTTTTGCACACAGCCTCAGGCAGCCTGCATCCCGCTCCGCAACAAGCCCAGGAGACAGAAACGAGAGCCATTCGTCTGACGCTGCGCTAGCGTCACGGGCATGCCTTTCACAGCTGCCACCGAAAGCTCAACCCAGGAGAGATTGCCGTACAGAAAAGCCAGATACAAAAAGATCCCCCTTCCCCATCAGAATTTCTTTAACTAACTATTGCAACAAGGAGATTGGCCGCTCCCAGCCCCGTCTCCCCCAGCCTCATGAGGATACAGGATTCCATTCAATACTGTTTGGCATGATTGCATTTGCTTTAGTCCAGCCGAGACTACCTGAGAACCCCAAGCAAGCAAGGACTCAGCCCCTCTCCTGCAGATAATCTTCCTCAGCGCCGGTCTTTGCTCCCTCGGGGAGCACCCCCCAGTGTGGACCAATCCCCCAAACCATGGGGAAGCCTTGTCAGCTGCGGGATGAGGTTATTTCACCCTCTCTTTGCACCCTACCGCTAGGCCAGGGGCTCTGACTGGACCACGTCCGTAGCCTGGAGTCCCACAAAGGAGACAGCCCTTCCTAGTGCAAAGCAGGGACAGGCTTAGGCTGGAGGGGGTAGCTCCTGCCCTTTCGGAAGCAGAGACCTCTTTGCCCAACGGGGATGTTCTGTCCTTCCTGGGCGTTCGTTGTAGCTTGGCTTGGCCCACCCCCCAGGCTTGGGGCCTCAGGACTTAGCTTTCCATTTTAAACACACACGTGGCTCACCAAAGTTCTCTCTAAGCGCCCCACACTTTGCTCTTCCGGCTAGCAACAGAAAGGACCGATTGTTCCCTTCACGCTGTGGGCAGAAGCACCCCTTGTCCGAGCACGAACGCTGCCCTCTCCATCCAGCTTGATTCAGAGCTTTCAGCTAGTGCCTCCTTGGCCAGTTCTCTACCAATCCACCCTCCCTGCTCCCCGCCCCTTACAAGTCTCCTGTGCCACAGCCGTCTCTCTGCTGGGGAAATCAGTGGCATCTAGAGGGAGGAGAGTCCCTGCCAAGAACGTCGCACAGCCCCGGCCTCGGGAGCCGCTAACGGGCTAGTGGCTACTGCAGCTCCATTCCCATGCAAGGGGGAGCCGGGCAGTTGACAGTGACCCAAGAAAAGCAGGACCCTACCAGGCCACCATGGCTCCGCTCATCAGAACTTGTCTTTGCAAGAAGCCGGCATTCTTCAAAGGCAGCTTGTTGCAAGAACATGCCCTGGCGGAAGAGAGGAGGAGCCACCGTTTGTGGGGGAGGGACGGGAAAAATGCCTGGTGGTTCTAGAGTAGAGAACGCCCCCTTCCCTCTCTGAACCCAGTGGCTGTGGCTCCTAGGCCCCAGGAGGCTCTGCAGAGGGCTTGGCTGCCTTTGGCATGGCTTCTCGGCGACGGGCGGTTCGTCCTAGAGCGAGACACTTCCCCCTTCTCACAGGAGTACACGGAGGTTCCCCTCCTCCCCGTTCCTCCCGCCCGTTGGGACGAGCTCCCAGGCTGTTTGAATCACTGGCCACTCCCAGAAGCTTCCCCCCCCCCTAGACCCTAAGCCAGGAGCGCCCGGGTGCTGCTCCACCAGGGCAGAGTCTTCCCTCTTGACGTGTCCAAGAGCTCTGCTCTGCAAGGCCTCTCCTCTGCAGGCTCATTCCTAAGGGTTGGGACCTGAAGAGCCACCTCGTGGCCTTTTCTCTGCTCCCTCCCCCCAGCCTCTGCCAAGCCGGGTTGTCCCCGGCGCACAGACAGGGCCTGCGCCCCAAAGGGGCCGATTGTCCGTTCAGCATTGTGAACCCGATTGTACAGCATGAAGAGACAGCGGGAGAGCGACTGCCAGTCGCCAAGATCCCCGCGAAAGGGACCTCCCCGAGCTTGTTCCGAACTGAATGGGCCTAGGGTCAGTCGTGGCCAGAGCGCACAGGCGAGGTCGTTGCGTTGGGCTGATGGGTCAACACAGGTAGCTTGGCCTTCGGCCTGTGGGCGCAGTCAGTTGGGCTTTGTTCTGAAATGATCATGATTGTGTTTTTAAAAAAAGGAGCAGCATTTGGTTTGACTAGGAGGAGAACCGGGCCAGAAGCTCCCGGCGTCATCAGGAGCCGCTTGGCTGTGTCAGTCCTTTTCAGTCGAAACTCCTCCGCCCCAAAAAGGGTCCCTTTCTCGCCGGACACGATTGGCAGGCAGCACCAAGCGTCCTCTCGGCCTTTCCACTGAGCCCGGAGCTCGCTGGGATCGATCGGGGGTCTGCCACCCCGTCTCGCAAAACCTGATTCTGAAAGGGAGGCCGGAGGCCAGCGCCTGAGCATCAGTTGCCACGGAAAACCTCGATCTTGCTGCTTTTCGCCAGCATGTCGATGATGCGCGCCTCAAAGTCCGCATCGTGCACCCCTGTCTTCCGGAACTCCCCCGCGTAGCGATTGTTCTCCCAGTAATGGTGCCAGTTGCCCCGGCTGTCTGCCCCGAATCCAAAGACATTCACCTGAGCCAGAGAAGGGGACAGCGGTTAGGTCAGAGCTCAGCGGCAGAGACCCGGCTTCTCACGGGGCAGGAAGGCAAACGGGGGGTTTTCCGCCTGCCTGGGACACGTCGGGCATTAGCACGGCTGGACCCAGGGTGCCGGACCAGCGTCAGACCTAGCTAGCATGGCGCGTTACCGCTATCTGCTCAGGGAGGCCAGTCCATGCACCGGGCCGGAGCTCCAGCACCAGGAGGCGGAACACTGATATGTGCGGTCAATCGGACTGACAGCCCCAAGCAACCTCTCTGCTCCAATTTAACCTGCATAAACTCTGGCGTGCTAAGCCAGCCAAGGGCCTGGAGAGGTGTGCCAGCGACATGGGCTGGAATTAGGGTCCGAGGCACAGTTTGGGGTGCTGATGTTGTGACAGAGTCCCGAGCATGTGTCATGCATGTCGGACTGAGTGAGCACAAGGGGGCGTCTCGGAAACACGACAGGTTTTGGCTATGTTTTGCCTGAAGGAAGAGGTTTCAAGGGACAGCTGGAGAAAGTACCAAGCAGCACCCAGGACTCAAAATAAGGAAGAAGCAACCAGAGCCCAGAACCCTACTGAGAGCAAAGCCCAGCCTCTGTAACCCTGCCCCAACTCCTGGCAAAGGAGCCGAGGCGTCCCCGAGTAAGCAAGCCTGCAAGTCTGAGGCAGGACTTGGCTGTCTGGGACGTCTAAAAAAAGCCACTGTCAAGGAGACAGTCACCCCAGGTGACCACGGGCAGACTTCAGCAAGGCTGCGCTCTCGTGCAAGGACGCGAGGCCTGGTGCCAGCCGCATGAAGCGGTTTGTCTCTCACCAACATGGTGACGTGGCGCGTGGAAGGGAGCGCACGTCACATGGGACCCAACCGTTTCGGCACCCACCTCATCGCAAACAAAAAGCCACTGTCAAGGAGACAGTCACCCCAGGTGACCACGGGCAGACTTCAGCAAGGCTGCGCTCTCGTGCAAGGACGCGAGGCCTGGTGCCAGCCGCATGAAGCGGTTTGTCTCTCACCAACATGGTGACGTGGCGCGTGGAAGGGAGCGCACGTCACATGGGACCCAACCGTTTCGGCACCCACCTCATCGCAAACGTGGAGCGCGAAGAACAGCACTAGCATCCCTGTGGAGGGGTATCGCCCGTGGTGCTCGGTCCACCGGTCGTGGATGTATTTGAAGAAGGCTGGGTTGTAGATCTGCACCTGGAAGAAAGCCACGGTCCAAGCGGGCAGGCTGGGGAGAAGCGCTGGACTGGCAGCTCAGGAGCAGAGTCAGCTCTTCCCAGACCTCCCCATCACAGGTGCATGGGACCTCCTGACTCATCCAGTCCCTGCCCGGCTCCCTCAGGCAACCCCAGCGTGTCACTGCCCCTTCGTGAAACTTCTCAGGCTCCATTGTAGTGAGGTCGGCCGCCACTCCCCCGCCCGGGAGCTGGTCTAGACCCGCCCTCCTCCGGCCGGAAACACGCTTCTGACTTGTGCACTGCCAGCTCAGTCCCACACGGCCTGGTCCCAGCTCTCCCAGCGGGAGACGGCTGAATGCAAGATTGGCCGTGGGAAGAAGGTGACCCCTGAGCCCAAGACGCGAAGAGTCTGAGAGGTTCACGGTATCCCTCGCCAGGGACATACAGCAGCGGCCACTGACTAGCTGCCCCAGAGCCTGCCTGGCCTTGCCGGAGCGAGGGACGACGACACTTGTTTTCCAGCCCACGTTCTCAGGGCTGAAGAGCCAGGGCAGTTGAGGGAAAGGCTCTGGGGGGGGGACCCCGCCAAGGGAAACGCTCGGGGGGGGAGGGGAGGGAAACGCTCCGGGGGCGGGGAGGGCCGCCAAGGGAAACATCGCAGGAGGAGTCAGTAGTGAGGGTCCCTTTAGCCCATGGGACGGTGAGCAGGGTGTTTGCAGCTGCCCGCAGTCAGGGCGGGGCGAGGAGAGGGACCTAGAGCCAGCCTTACCTTCTCCTTATCCACGCGAAGGAAGGGCTTCACGGGTGCATAGGTGCTGGAATAGCAGAGAGGCAGGTTACACCCCGGGCCACGCAGCCCCCACAAGGCATTCTCGTTAGAGGTGCACACAAGGCAGGCCCGTTAAAGGGGAGAAGCCGGTCGCGGCGGCCCCGGTAGCAACTA